TCTATTAATTGAGAGAGAGAGAGAGAGAGAGAGAGAGAGAGAGAGAGAGAGAGAGAGAGAGAGAGAGAGAGAGAGAGAGAGAGAGAGAGAGACAGAGACAGAGACAGAGAGAGAGAGAGAGAGAGAGAGAGAGAGTGAGTGAGAGAGAGAGTGAGAGAGAGAGAGAGAAAGAGAGAGAGAGAGAGAGAGAGAGAGAGAGAGAGAGAGAGAGAGAGAGAGAGAGAGAGAGAGAGAGAGAGAGAGAGAGAGAGAGAGAGAGAGAGAGAGAGAGAGAGAGGAGATTGGAGAAAGAGAAAGAGTAAGAGAAAGAGAAAGAGCAAGAGAAAGAGAAAGAGCAAGAGAAAGAACGAGAAAAAGAGAGAGAGTGAGAGAGGTAAATGCGAAAAGAGAGACGGATATACGTATACATATAGAGCAAGAAAGAAAAAGACAGACCAACTCAACAGTTGTGAAGCGAGCGCGAGAGGGCAAGCGAGGGTGCCACAACGGGGAGCCAGGGGAGGCTGGCACTAAGGGAGGAGGGAAGCAAATTATACAGTGTCAACAGAGGGGCCAGAGGAGGGACAAGGGTGACAATAGAGACCCAATGCCGGGAGACAATCCTGCCTGAGTGTGTGAGGAGAGTGCAGAGTCCGTTGGATCGTAAATTCTTAGAAAAGGTGATAGGGTACACGTGATCTATAATAGTACAGGCGTGCATTCTCCCATATATTTATTCATGCAACTCCCATGAGAACGGTAAAGTTTTGCGCATGTCTGGTAACGAGGTTCAAGTCAGCATTCAAGCACACGCACACTGATGTCTATCTCTGTATATATACGTAGGTGTCGTCTAAGAAAGTAATAGAGATTATCATTACCAAACATGCGGGGTATGAACAAAGGCAAAACGCAAGACGAGTTGGTAAGACGACTAAAAAGAAGAAGAAGAAGAAGAAGAAGAAGAAGAAAAAAAGAAGAGGAAGAGGAAGAGGAAGAAGAAGAAGAGGAAGAAGAAGAAGAGGATGAAGAAGAAGGAGGAGGAGGAGGAGAAGAGGGAAGAGAAGGAGAAGAAAAAGAAGAAGGAGGAGGAGAAGAAAGAGAAAAAAAAGAAGAAAAAGGAGAAAAACCGGCAAAGCCATTTTCAAGAAAACAGGAAAATGTAATAGACGAAGAATCAGGTCGGAGGAAGGAAGGAGACAGAGGCATGGGGGGGGAGGGAGGAGAGGGAGGAGGGCGGAAAAGAGGAGAAAGAGAGAGGGAGGGAGGGAGATTTTTTCCCCTCCCCTATTTTTGTGTATTATGAGGCGAGATGGGGAGTTTGTGGGAGATGGAGAGAGAGAGAGAGAGAGAGAGAGAGAGAGAGAGAGAGAGAGAGAGAGAGAGAGAGAGAGAGAGAGAGAGAGAGAGAGAGAGAGAGAGAGAGAGAGAGAGAGAGACGTGGATGGGCGACTCAGCTTTAAAAAAACATCGCTGTTTCTCTCTCCCTTTTTTCTCTCGCTTTCCCCCCTTTTTCACTTTATATATCGACTAATTCCGAACGTATCTGTGTGCTGACAGTGCGCTGATGTTCACTTTTTTTTTATCAGTGTTTACATGTGTGTATCCGTTTACATGAACCTGTGTGTATTTGTGTGTGTGCGCATGCGTGTTATCGGAGGATGAAAAGGATTACGTTGAGAGTTAGGAAGGAAAAAAACCCATTTTTTTGTATATATATAAAGTGAGATATATGGAGGATTCAGCCGCGTGGCAGATATGAGGGAAGAAGACGAAATTTGGAGAGGTTGTTGTGAAGATGAGGAGGAGGAGGAGGAGGAGGAGGAGGAGGAGGAGGAGGAGGAGAAAGAAGAAAAAGTAGAAGAAAAAGATGAAGTAGAAGAAAAAGAAGTAGAAGAAAAAGAAGAAGAAGAGGAGGAAAAAGAAGAAGAAGAGGAAGTAGAAGAAAAAGAAGAAGAAGATGAAGGAGAAGAAGAGGAAAAAGAAGAAGAGTAAGTAGTAGTAGTAGAAGAAGAAGAAGAAGAAGAAGAAGAAGAGGGAGGAAGAGGAAGAAGAAGAAAAAATATGAAGAGGAGGAGGAGGAGGAAGAGGAGGACTAGGAAGAGGAAAGAGAGGAGGGGAAAGAGGAAACCAGAAAATCTCAAGGACAAAGGAGAAAGGAAATATACGTGAGTGGAAAGCGAAGGCGTTGAGAAACGAAACATAAAGAAGGAACGCAAGAGAAAAAAGGGAAATACAATACATAAAGGAGGAAAAAAAAAATAGTCTGAAAATCGAGTAACAGCTGTGAGTAAACGTCCTAAAAACGTTCACACAAAACCCAAGGTTGAGGTCCCTGCGTTGCACAGATGTTACTTCCACAATACAAAAGGTTCCTAAAATTACATCGTCTGGAAGCAAAGAACCTATTTTCATAATCTCTCCTTCTCCCTCTCCTTTTTCTTGCCGTAAGTTCGCTTGTTCAAGAATCATTATTATGCTAAACAGCTGTTCGGAGAGGATCAAAATCGTCATAAAAAGG